CAGCTAAGTTTTTTAGAAGTACTTTTGGAAGCTTTCTTAAATTTTGTGCAAATTTTTATTTATTATATTCTGGAGGAATTAAATGAGATTGGTACTAAAATAAAAAGTGGAATTTTCTTAAAACTAATTTTTGCTGAAGAACGATAACTGTTTTTTAAGCAGAAAAAAGTTTTTGAGTTGAAGCAAATATAGAGCGTAAGACCGGTGATGAATAAATGCTCTGATTGTTGAAGAAGGTGATCGATAGGAGAAATTGTCAACAGTGTTCAAGAGTATTTGTAAAAAAAAAAAAAAAACTGAAGTCTGGATGTGCCGTTCGTTTAAACCATTGAAAAGGTTTAGGCTTTTCAGTTCCTAACAGTTTTTAACTTCCAGAAATTGAAAAACAAAATTTAAACTTGTGAATATTTATAGTTCGAGATTCTAAAGGCAAAATTATCAATTAATTTGAGGCCTAATGAAATTAAAAATTGATATCTTTAGACATGTAAGAAATAGTTTTTTGAACAAAGTTCTTTAAGGAAGAGTCTTTTTAACGTGTGATAAATTGGAGCAAAAGTTTACGTGAAAGAATTGTTTCCTATTCTGTTATCTGTTGCAATCACGATTGTTTAACTGCTCTGTGAAGATGAACAAAGTTTTGTATGGGTCAGGTTAAGTGGAAGAAGAACAACTTTTGCAATGGACATTTATTCAGTTAAATGGGTGAACAAAAAAACTAAAGGAAGAAGGTTCTGTAAAACTTGAACAACTGTTTCTGCCTTCTATCTTGCTGCATCTTTGGGCTTCATTTCCGTTTTATCTCTTTTGCTGCCGTTTTAGCAGATCAGTTTTCCCAATGCTTGATTGTAAGTGAGAACTATGATAAGAAAATCTTCTTTATAGTTCATTCGTTTTAGTGAAATTAAAATGTCGGAGTAATTTTTTTTTTCAGAGGGGAGGAGAATTAAATGAAAACTTTATAGACCAAAGGTAGAAATAAAGTTTTTGACTGCATTGATGACTTTTGTAGCATGCATTTGGACTGAGAACTTCAAAGACTTATTCAAACGTAAGTATCATCTGTATAGAGCAATAAAATATTTCAGTTAAATTTTGAGAACGTTTTGTGCAAAATATCTTGAATTTTCCTCTTTTTTTTTCTTTTTTTTTCTTCGAAAAAATAAAAGTTCAGTAAAAGTTTAGAAAAACAAAGAAAAGTTCTTGTTTTGATTTGTAAAACCAAAGAAAGTTTTTGCAGTGTTGGCAAAATTTATTCTTTACTTTCTAAGCAAAAATTGAAGATCTGATATATATATATATA